ACCATAGGTTCGCTAAGTATGGCACTCATTCTTAAGTCATATTCTCAGGAAATGCTTTTTGCTGCTTATATTCTTAGCCTTAAGAATGTGGGATTCTCAAGGGGTGGTCATGACGAAAAAGACATTCAGACACATGTACCGACCTCTGCTTTCTCATCTCTACTTCTGCTTGCTAGCGCCCTTCTCTGGGAGATCCACAGATATATCAGGGATTCTTACATTGAAATTCACATAATTAGGTGTAATTTGCTGGACTCGAACCTAAGACTACGAAATGTTTATACTAAACTCTATCACTAAACCTATGCTTTAAGAGACGACACATCAAGATGCAAGATATTCTCGCAAGACGGATTAGTTCTCTATCTATGCTAAAAACGTGTGCGTATCCTGTGAGCTGCGCCAAGTGCCGTACACGAACATATGTGCGTGTACGACAAACAACTCAACACCTGTTCAGCAACTCAGCTATCAGCCCTGGCCCATGTGCAAAAACCTGGCGTGCAGCCTGACATGGCCACATACCTGCTGCAGCCCACTGCCCAGCACCATCCCTGGCTGCTGCAGTTGCATGAAAAACAAGAGGCGCCCCGAGGCCACTGCCATGTTTAGCTGAATCCAAATGGAAGCATCCTTGCTTGCCATGGAGAGGCTGGCAGACTCATGTGTTTTCTACAAGCCCCCACAAGAAGAGTTTGGGGCTACTGAAACTGTAGCAGTCCCTCACCTGGGCGGATGACTTGCTTTGCGGAAGCGTGGAATTTAGAGTCCTCGCTGAGGAGGAAGAAGTCCAACCCAGCGACAAGCACTAGCATACATAGACCCGTACGAAACAATCTGAGACGGCGGCCGCGGAGTCTTGAACTCTGAACACCAAGTAGTCGTGATGCTTAAGTGCCTCACCATAGCACCCCGCCCAGGTAGCTTACATCTCGGCCTACCTGCCGGAGATTCCCTACTACGTTCCTGCCGTGCTAGGATACTGTCGGTGTATCCTCCGGTGGCAGGGCGGTACAGGGTGGTACCCTCCGGTGGCAGGGTGGTACAGGAGGGTACCCTCCGGTGGCAGGGTGGCACAGGATGGTAGCCACCGGTGGCAGGCTGGTACAGGAGGGTACCCTCCGGTGGCAGGGTGGTACAGGAGGGTATCCTCCGGTGGCAGGTTGGTACAGGAGGGTAACCTCCGGTGGCAGGGTGGCACAGGAGGGTATCCTCCGGTGGCAGGGTGGCACAGGAGGGTAACCTCCAGTGGCAGGGTGGTACAGGAGGGTATCCTCCGGTGGCTAGGTGGTACAGGAGGGTAACCTCCGGTGGCAAGGTGGTACAGGAGCGTATCCTCCGGTGGCAGGTTGGTACAGGAGGGTAACCTCCGGTGGCTAGGTGGTACAGGAGGGTATCCTCCGGTGGCTAGGTGGTACAGGAGGGTAACCTCCAGTGGCAGGGTGGTACAGGAGGGTATCCTCCGGTGCCACCCCTTTGACATGTGTACACCGACATGTGTACACCGACATGGTGTACACTGAAGGTTCTCCCCAAAGGGGAGGAAGCTTATCCCTTTGGTGTCCCTTTGGTGTCTCTTCCATGTCCCTTTGGTGTCTCTACCCTGTCTTTTGGGTGTCCCTTGGGTGTCTCTTCCGCGTGTCTCTTCCACGTGTCCCTTTGGTGCCCTTGGGTATCCCTCCCGTGCCCCTTGGGTATCCCTCCCGTGCCCCTTGGGTGTCCCTTGGGTGCCCCTTGGGCGTTCCTTGGGTGTCCCTTTGGTGTCCCTTGCAAGGGACACCCAATTGGGTGTCCCTTCCATGTCCCTTTGGTGTCTCTTCCATGTCCCTTTGGTGTCCCTTCCCTGTCTTTTGGGTGTCCCTTGGGTGTCCCTTGGGTGCCTGAGACCGAATTTACCAAAACCTTCATTGACAGCTGCACCTGGCTAATTATTAACCACCAAGCGTCCCCTTGGTGGCAGAATGCTCAGTCAGGATGCAGTGGAGGGTCGAGCACAGGATA